GAGGGACATCTGCTCTGTCAGGCGTGTGGGTTCCAGGGGACATGGTGGTCCTCTGCATGGGGTCCCTGTCTGGGGGGAGGCAGATGCTTCCAGCTGTTCACAATGCAGACACGGAGAGAAAGCATGGTGTGTGTGACACAAGAGAGCCGGGTGTGGTAGAAACATGGCAGGGACCCCCCCATCTAGGGACCAGGAGAGGTGTGGCCTGGGCTCTGGGGGCAGTGAGGGCTACCTGGGTGCAGGGGCAGGGCCTTGGGTGGCCACAGGGCCTGCAGAAGCCCTGGGATTGGAGGTGTCTGAAGRCAGTACCCAGGCAGGGCTGCAGTCTCTCCTGCAGGACTGTGTCACCTGTGCAGAGGATGTGACCTTTGCCCTGGGGATCTGGGAAGTCACTGGTGCCTGGCAACCAGGGAGTCACGTGAACAAGCCTCTCTGACTGCTGAGCGGAGAGTGACCTCTAGGGGGCAGCAGGGGTGAGACAGAGGATCCCTGGGGAGCCTGTTGTCATGGTCCCAGCAAGAGGGGCCAGCCTGCAGTGTCAGGTGTGTGTGTGCGTGTGTGTCTGGGGACCTGTGGGAGCAGCAGCAGGACTCAGGAAGGGAAGACAGAAGGTGGCTGAGGAGGTGAAGTTATTTTGAGTGTCAAGGGAAGCCAGAGCTGGGACCCTGCCCGGACTCTCATCTCTTGTGGGTCCCGTCCTGCCTCAGAGCCCGAGCGGAGCCTCAAACCTTACAGCCTGGTGCGGCCGCTGCTGGTGTCCGCCCTCCGGCCTGTGGTGCTGCTGCCCGAGTGCCTGGCGCCCCGGCTCATCCGCAATCTCCTAGACCTGCCCAGCTCCCGGCTGGACTTCCAAGTGTGCCCAGCAGGTGAGCCTGTGACCTGGGAGGGGAGGCTGGGGAACAGTAGGACAGCCAGTCTACCCCATCGTCATCCACGTGGAGGACAGCCAGGCCTGTGGCCCTGTAACACCCTGTCCCTGCCCCTCTGCAGAGAGCCTCTCTGGGGAGGAGCAGTGTGCACCCTCAGCGCCGGGGGCCCCTAAGTCCCGGCCTGCCACCCCCGGGCTGGGCACCAGGATCCGAGCCATCCAGGAGTCTGTTGGGAAGGTAGGTGCTGGGCTGCCATCCTGGGCTCACAAGCTAGYGTCGGAGCCACCTCCTGCGTCCTCAGTGTCCTCACCTGTGACGTGGGGGGGTCGGGGCCGTTGCCCTCACATGGGTCACCCTGAACGAGATGAGCTGGGACATCTTGCCTGCTCGTCCTTGTTCTTGAACTTTCTGCCACCCTGGGAGATGGCCAGGGCTCCAGGGTGGTGGGTGAGGTGGGGTTAACTCCAACCTGCAGGTGAGGTGGCCCAGGTCAAGTGGGGAGGGGACCTTCCTCCAGGTCACCAGCGAGCTCAGGTCTTCAGTCTCCCTTCTTGGAAGGGTCCCTCTGGGTGAGGCGGAGTTTGTGCACCGGGGAGGCTGTGCCGGGGTGGCGGGTGGAGCGGGGCCCTGGTGTCCCTGGGCTCTGGTAAACGTGGTCTCTCTCCCCCGGGAAGAAGCACTGCCTGTTGGAGCTGGGGGCGCGGGGCGTGCGGGAGCTGGTTCAGAGCGAGGTCTACCCCATCGTCATCCACGTGGAGGTGACCGAGAAGAATGTCCGGGAAGTCAGGTGCGGTGGGGGGGTGCCCTCTCCGAGGATGTCTCTCTGTCTGTCTCTCTGTCTGCCTCCCTTTGTCCATCTTCTCTGTCCGACTCTTCGGGTCCTGGTTCACGGAGGGAGAGCCTCTGACCACTGTCCTTCCTCCTCTCTCGACAGGGGCCTGCTGGGCCGGCCCGGCTGGCGGGACTCGGAGCTGCTGCGGCAGTGTCGTGGCTCCGAGCAGGTGCTCTGGGGGCTGCCCTGCTCCTGGGCGCAGGTGCCCGCGCACGCCTGGAGCCACGCCGAGGAGCTGGCCAAGGTGGTGCGTGGCCGGATCCTGCAGGAGCAGGCGCGCCTCGTGTGGGTGGAGCTCGGCAGTGGCCGCGGTGGTGGCAGCAGCAGCAGCGAGGCCTGAGGCCATCACTGCCCGGGCCTCCTCCCACCTTGTGGAGGCTGGCAGCGGCTGGACCCCGCGCCTGCGGTGGACTTGGCCCTCTCCATCCTGAGCCTTCCTGGATCCTGGACTCTGATGAGGGGCCTTGGCTTTGGGTTCTGACCTGAGATTGTCAYCACCTATGCTGAGCCTGTGGGAGCCTGGGGGGTGGAGCTTCCACCGGCCCCGAACCTGCTGCTGTGGGCCTTCCCGTCTGTCCCTGTGTCCCTGTGTCCCCACTCACGGTCTCGTGTGTGTCTTGTGTGGTGAACACCTGTCTGGAGTCTGGTCCTGTCCCTGTGCATGGGTTTGCACAGCCAGGTTCTCACCGGGCAGATTCTGTCCCTCCCCCAGGAACACGGGGTATCCTGGTCCTCAGCCTGCTCAGCTTGCAGGATGGCCGAGCTGCCGCCACGTGACTCCAACCTGTCCAGCTCAGTCTTGACGTGGCCACACATGGACATGTGGCCCCCCCTCCCCCCGTTCCACTCACTGTACCCCTTGTGTCTCGTTGCGTGTGTCTCTGGTTCTCTCCTGTGTAAATGTCATGTCCCACCCTGTGACACTTGGGCACTAAGGTGTGTTCTTGCACACCCAGGACCATGTTCTCACAGCCGCCCCCTGCCCCCGCCGGCCTCTCCGAGGGCTGGGGGAGGGGCGGCTGCTCTGCCACAGAATGTACAGCCCGTGCATCGCCACTGGGCCCTTGTCACTGAGAAGCTGCACATTAAGGAACATTAAACACTGTCATAGACTGGTGGCCTCCTGCCTGTACCCTGGCCTGGGCCCCTCTCYGYTCTTTGCCTCTGTCCTCACCTCCAGCACAGGCTGATTCCACCTTTCAGGTGCCCGCTCGCCAGTGGGGAGGGTCATATTTCCCTCCTGACTCATCCCAGAGCCGCTGGCCATCTGTGCTGGCATCACCTTACCTGCCCCCAGTGACGGGTTGAGGGCCCCGCAGTCGGGCCACCCCAGCACCCAGCCCTGCCCTGCCTTTCAGAGGAGTGTCCTCTGGAGCGGGGGCACCGAAGCCCACRGGGTGCAGACCTGGGGGTCCAGCTGCTGAGTCTGGGAGGGCAGGAGCAGGCCCTGGGTGTGTGGTCAGGTCCCTGGGGCAGCTGTGCCCAGTCACCTCCAGGGGGCAGCCCGGGCCGACTGGAGCACACTGTGGGCACCGTGGGCTGGGACCCCTATGGTTGAGAGGCACTTGTTGGGCTTCTGTGCCTTSGTGCAGGTGGCCATCTTGGGTCCCCACAGTGAACTTGGTCAGGCCCCTGGAGGATCTGGAGAGAGTGGGTGTACTGACCAGTTGGGGACAGAAAATGGGTTGAGAGTGACCACCCTGGGGGAAGGGGGCTGGGGGTGCGGCTGGGGCTGGCAGTGCCCAGGTCTAGAGGAGGGGAGAGGGCTCTTTGAAACTCCGGGGGGCGGCTCTGGGCCCCATGTTTGGCCGTTGGGGAAAATGTTCCTGGGCTTCAAAGGGATCTGGGCTGAAGAGGTGGGGGCAGGGCGTGGGCAGGGGAGCAGGGAGGCTGAGGGGACATGGGCGCCCGAGTGAGGGACCAAGCCCCTTCCTCAGTGGGAACAAGAGGAGAAAAGGGGAAGGAGGTGGTTGAGGGCCCCAAATGGGACCAGGGGGACAGGGGATTGCCAGGGAGGGAGGGAGGGGGGGAGGGAGGGAGGGGATGTTCTTTCCCAGGATGGAGCCGGGGCAGAGCAGTGTGTTTAGTTGCGATACCCAGCTCCTGACCTAGCTCCTGTACTCACCAGCCGGGGGGTCCCCCAGCAGCAGCCGCATCCTCTGCTGATGCCCTATGTGGGGGTGGCAGGCCGGGAGGGGGCTGTGTGTGGCTTGGCAGAACTGTGGCTTAAGAGCCTCAGCTTTTCCACCCTCCCTAAGAAAGTAGGTGCAGGTTGGGACGGCAGGGGACAGGGGGGCCTTGACTGGGAGCTTGAGGTCCCCAAGCCAGTCACCAGGATGGACTTATGGAGTTGGACCCTGAGGTGTCCAGTGCCAGTCCAGGCTGCCTGTCCCTCTCCTGTCCCTCCAGCCACCCACCCGTTGGGCAGTGGCCTCTGAATCTGCCTCTAGCCACACTCTTGGGGCGCTTTTGCTCGCGCTTGGCAATGCCTGCGCTGGCGTGTGCTCTGTGGATTTTGTTCTAAGGACGGGGAGCCAGTGCAGGGTTGGAGCAGAGGAAGGAGGTGTGAATGGCCTAGTGTCAAGGAAGACACACTTGTGGCTGGAGGAGGCCTGGTTGGCTGGGCTGGCTGGGTGAGGCAGCTGTAGAGCCTGCCAAGGGTGATCGGGAGGGCCRCCGCTGGATAGGTGCCCTCAGGGGTCTCCTGCGGGGCCAGACGAGGACACGGGACCAGGCTTCCACCCAATTCTGGGCCTGACTGGCTGGATCATCTTATGTCACCCTGTGCCTCAGCTAGAAACTGGGACTGTCCCAATGCAGTTGTGAAGTCCAAAGGAACTGAGAAAACTTCTGTGGGAGTCCCAGGAATTGGGAGGGGCCATCATGGAAGGGTTCCTGGAGGAGGGACCCCCAGAGCTGAGCTTTAAGCGCAAACAGAATTTGGCCTGGAGGAGAGGAGAGGACGCGGGTAAGGACGTGGGATGGGGAGAGCATCCAGGAGACACTGAGCAAGAGCGAAGACGCCAGGACGTTGGAAAGTAACGGGCGCAGCTGGAGCCACGCCGGCGGGTCTCTGGGGAGTGGCGTGGCTGGAGGGCCCCTGGCTCCCACCGGGCATGGACGGTTGGCTCTTGCCGCCGCCCCCGCCCCCGCCCCCGCCCCAGCAGCTGGCAGGGCGAGGGCTGCCCCCGGGCGGCTGCCTCCCGCTCTGCCACCTCTGCGCCCGGCCTGGCTCCGCCCCTCGGCTGGGCGGGGCGGGGCCGGCGGCCGGGCCGGGGAGCGCCACCGAGCAGGTGGAGGGTGGCGGCCGGTGGGGCAGCCGCAGCTCAGGCTCCGGGGCGGGAGCTCCAGCTCCACGTCTCCGCTCCCTGTGCGCCCCGATGCCTGCCACACTCGTGCCCCTGTCAGGGCCACAGCCTGACCAGCCTCCGGTCCCGGACTGGCTGGGACTTGGGAGCTGAGCCGTCCGGCCGCTGTGCCCATGCAGTGCCGGCTGCTCCAGGGCTTGGCCGGAGCCCTCCTCACCCTCCTGTGCATGGGGCTTCTGTCCCTCCGGTACCAGTCACGCCCGCCCCCCCAGGGAGTGCAGCAGCCCCCCAGGCTGAGCCGGCCCAGCCCCGCRCCCCGCGAGCTGCGGCTGCACGACATCTTCGTCGCCGTCAAGACCACCCGGGCCTTCCACCGCTCGCGCCTGGACCTGCTGCTCGACACGTGGGTCTCCAGGATCAGSCAACAGGTGATGAGTGGGCCAGTTGGCGCCATGGAGTCTGGGGCCTGAGGGACTCTGGAGGTCTTCCTGCTGGGCTGGGATCTCTGGCTCCCTCAAGCAGAAGCTGCTGTCGTCCAGCCGTCGGGCCCATCGCCCCATCCTTCCTCCCGGCCCCACGCTCTCACTGACACGGCGTCCAGTTCCTCAGATCCTCTGTTGGTGGCCAAGCTGCCCCAGGCCCCCGGTCCCTCCTGGGCTCCCTCTGTTCCCTGGCTGCCCCAGCGGGGGCCTCACTCCCGCCCAGCTTGGCCCAGCCTGGCCGCAGGGACCATAGAGGGTGCTGGGCCTCTGGGGTGGAGGCTTCTGAGAGCTCCTGACTCAGAGGTCCTCTCAAGGGTCCTGTGCCAACCTCGGCCTAGGAACTGCCCTGCCCAGGCTCTGGGGTGGAGGGTGGAGGGTGGAGGGTGGAGGGAGGCCCCAGGTGGGCCTGTTCCGGGAGGCGCCCTTTCGGCCTTCCTCAGCCCCTGCAGCTGCCTGTGTGCACGCAGGCGTGTGCGCATGTGCACGTCTGGTGTCTTGCGCTGGTTTCCTGTGGTTGTCCTGGGAGGCTGTCGCTGAGGCAGGGGTGGGTGAGAGGTTGGGGTGTGTGCGTACACACTTGTGCTCACATGTGCGGAGCCCAAGAGTGTTCCACATGCCATGACAAGAGGTGTGTGGGTGACCTGGGCACGTGGCTCGTGCCCTTCAGGGGAGGCACCTCTGACCATCTGAATCCCTCCCAGCCTGTCCTGTCCCCGTGGTCAGTACTCTCCTTAAGCAAAGCCAGGGATCTGGGGCTGTTGGGGACTGTCTCTGGGGAGGCCGAGGGTGGATTCACACACACCACCCCCACTGTGGTGGCTGCTCTGCGGGAGGAAGTGACTGAGCCCTTGGAGGGGAGCCCAAGGAAAGGCACAGTCAGGTCTGAGAGGCCAGGGACCCCAGGGAGGGCACACCCCTGCCCCTGTTTCCTGGCACTGATGTCTTTACGCCAGGATTGACCCTTCTCAGCAGGGCCCCCAGCATCCCTGGGCCCCGCCAGATTCTCATCTTGGGGAGATCTGGTTCCGCCTGCGGAAGCCGCCAAGGCTGGCCCTCCCTGCAGACCTTCCTGTTTATGGCGCGGTGTCTGTGGACCGGGAGTGTGCCTCACGTGGCTTGAGGCCCTTTCCTGTCTTGTCCTRTTCACCACGGTGGTGCCCCCAGATGAGGAAACTGAGGCTAGAGGAGGAAGTGCTGGCCAGTGTCACCCAGGGGTCTGAGGGGGCAGAGCCCAGCGGGACCCAGGTCTCACCTCTCCTGCACCTTCAGCCTGGGGGCTGTGCCTGGCAGTGCCAGCCTGGCTACAGTGGCCCCGTCCCAGGCCCTATCCCAGATGCTGATCAGKCAGCGGATCAGGGGGCACCTGCCGGCGGCTCAGCTCCTGAGGGCTGCACTGTGCCCCACGGCTCCGCTTCCCTCACACCCCCTGAGGCTGGGTGTCCATGCTCCCAGGTGGCAGGTGGGGAAGCTGATCCAAGCTAAGCAGAGTCCTGGGACGTGCTCACTCAGGGACCCCAGAGCGGGGAGCAGAAGTCACATTTAAGTTGAAAGAGGCCCACCCTGGACGTCGGTTCTCTCCCACCCTGGGTTCCTCTCTCTCTCTGACCTTGGCCGAGGCCCTCCCCACCTGCGCAGCACAGGGGCATCCGGAAGGGGCCTGAGCTGGCCAACTCCAGCGCTAGGCGCCGGCTGGTTAGAGGTGGTGGGGTGGCAGGTGGACCCTTGTGGCTAGTGTGGGAGCCTTTGTCCTGCGGAGGGGCGGGCGGGGGAGGCGGGCCTTGTGTGTTTTGTGCTTGAGGGGAGCCTTTCTCTCCCCCACAGGCCCCTTGTCCCGTGTGTGTGTGTGKGGGGGGGKGGGTCGGGGAGGTGGCAGCAACCCTACATCTCCCTTCCTGCAGCAGATGGTCCCCCTGCGCCCCTCCCTGCCCCGTGGGCCGCTGGTCTTTTGTTTCTCCGCCTGTGAAGTCTTAACCATTGTCAGGTCCCCTGTTAAACAAATCACACGCAGCTTCTGGCTCAGAGGAAATTCTGCCCACTGTTCTCCTCTGCCAGCCTCCGAGTTCCCAGGGGCGGGGACCACCAGCTCCTGCGCCCGCTCCTGCTCCGGGAACGCCCACTCCCCCTGCTCATCCCACTGCCTGAGGCTCGCCCTGATTGCCTGTGTTTTCTACTTCTTCAGCGACCAGCCGTCCCTCACCCGCTTGGTCCGTCCTCTCCAGTGTGCTGCTTGGTGTGCCAGGGAGCAGGGCAAGAGTCCTGGCTTCTGTTACAGACCCCTTGGGGGCGGTGTGGCAATCAGACGTGGGTGGGGGCAGTCAGAGCAGGAGACCAGGGGAGATGCCCGCAGCAGGTCATGCCCATGAGCTGGACCAGGGCTGGGCTTGGAGAGACTGAAACAGCGATGATTCAAGGTGTGGAGGGGTGGACAGGCTGCATGTGGGGGCAGCACGGTGGCCCCCAGTCCTGGGTCCCAGCAGAGCAGCAGGGACTCGGTCTTTTTTGTTTTTGCGGGGGGTATGGGGCCCAGGGCCTGTGCGTGCTGCCCAGCCTCTGCCGCAGAGGCACACAGCAGCCTTTGTTTTTGGTACTGGGAATTGAACCCGGGGCACTTAACCACTGAGCCGGCATCCCCAGTCCTTTTATATTTTATTTAGAGACAGGGTCTCACTGAGTTGCTTAGGGCCTCGCTAAGTTGCTGAGGCTGGCTTTGAACTCGCGATCCTCCTGCCTCAGCCTCCTGAGCCGCTGGGATCACAGGCGCGTGCCACATCGTCCTGTCCCATGTTGTTTCGTTTTTAAGTTTTTTTGTGGAAGTCATGGCTGCAGGGGATGTGAAAGCTGGGAGGAAGGGGGGGGGCAAAGGAGCTCCTTAGTGTCACCAGAGGGGTGTCGAGGCCTCCTGGGAGAGGTGATGCCCAAGTTGGGAGCTGGAGTGTGGGAAGAGGGAGCATCATGTGCAAAGGCTCAGAGTTGTGTGTGTGTGTATGCACACACACACACACACACACACACACACACACACAGAGCATATTTGGGGAACCGAAACAAATTTGGGCAGAGAGATTCCTGCCTCATGGTGGAGCAGGAAGTACTGAGATCAGGCTGCATCAGGTGGCAAGGGTCAGGGGTCCCTTCACCTGTCATGCTTTGGAGGCTAAATTTTATCCCAGGGGCAGTAGGGAACCCATGGAAGGTGCTGGCAAGGGGTGGTGGGTATGAGTTTATCTGATTCTGGTCCTGAGAGGAAAACAGATCGGGGTGAATGGACCAGAGTCTTGCCACAATCCCTGAGAGACGATGGTGGCTGAGACATGGTCTGTGGACATGAGCCCTGGGAGAGGCCCTGTCCCCCCGTACCTTCTGCTGTTCCTCACCCTGGCCTCTAGCCTCACTGCCTCCGTCTCCCTTAAGTCTTCCTGTTGAACTATCACTCCTTCCTTTACACGGTCTTACTTTAGTCTCACAGCTGTTACTGCCCCCCATTTTACAATGGGTAAACTGAGGCCCAAGGTGGGGCTGCCCTGCTCTGAGGGGCTGGTTCCTAGAAAGGAGGAAGAGGTCTGTGGGTGACAAGGAAGGGCCTTCAGGGCCGGGGCCCTGCTCTTGGAGGGAGGACAGGGGTAGGCCTCAGGTGTGCATGGTGGGGCAGGGGGTACCTGGGGTGGATGAACAGGTGGGACATTTTCTCCTTGGTCCCCACAGGGCAGCCAGGGRTCGGGAGGTCCTTGCAGGCCTTTGAGGTGCTCAGTAGAGAAAGGAGCTCTCGGGGCGGGCGGCTCTGCCCCTGTYGGGCTGGGCCTGGGGGTGAGGCATCCTGGCCCTGCATCTCTGTCTCACTCATGGCTGCTTCTGGAGGGTCCCCTCTGCCTCTCATTCCCAGTTTGCATTTGGTCTATTTAGGGGACAGATCACCAACCCTTCCTCATGAGGTTAAGAGAGGGCCAGCCGGGGGCAGGCATGGGTCCTGCTCCTGGTGGGTGCCCAGGGTGAGAGGGCAGGATCATGTCTTGGTGAAAACTTTTTGAGATGCTCAGGGGCCCCTGCACTGTGTGGGGTCTGTGGTGTGGGGACCCGGGGCGCCGGCGTGGGGTCCTTTCAGTCTGCTTCCCGACAGGGCTYAGGGTTGTGTGTATGTGACCTGGATGTAAGAGGGTGCCATTCTGCCAAGGGTATGGCTCTGTGAGGGGGACAGGGCTGTGCACCAGGAGATTGTGTCTATAGAAGCAAGTGTGTGTRTGTGTGTGTCCCCTAAAGAGACATATGGCCATGAGAGGGGCGTATGTCTGTCACTGCTGTGTGTATCCTCCTGGGTGGTGTCTGGGCTTGGCCATGGTGGCTGCTGGCTTGGCCTGGGTCTGCCCTGGGACACCGAGGCCTGACCCAAGTCCTGACCCCTTTTCCTCCCCAGACATTCATCTTCACTGACAGCCCGGACGAAGGCCTCCAGGAGAGACTGGGTAACWGCTGGCTGGGTGGGGCCCTTGGCTATTGCCAGAGAGAGCTGGGCAGCCGTGCTCTGGCCCGGGGCTGCCCAGGAAATGGGCTGACCACCTTTGGCTTTGGGATTCCCTTTAGCCCAGGAGGGGAGAGGGCTTCCCTCTTGGAAACATGTGCAGGTGTGGGGAGGGGCTGCTGGACTAGGCCCTGGACACTTGATCCAATCCAGCCTACTGTCCTGGCCAGGTCAGCCTGCCCTGGGCCTGGTTTCCCCACTGTCAGCTGGGAGGGGGTGGCCCTGGGGCTCCCTTGGCCTGGCTTTGCTCTGCATTCAGTGTTTGGGGCTGTGGGAGGCGCTGGGCAGGGTCCCTGATGGCTCCTTCTCCTCTAGGGCCCCACCTTGTGGTCACCAACTGCTCCGCTGAGCACAGCCACCCTGCGCTGTCCTGCAAGATGGCTGCSGAGTTCGACGCCTTCTTGGCCAGCGGGCTCAGGTGGGTGCTCCTGGGTCTCTGGGGGAGGGGTGGCTTTAAGGGTTGGGTCAAAGCAGTGACGTGACCTGAGTCCAGTGGGAGAACCCTCGTCTCCCACGCAGCAGGCAGCCTGCAGACCAGCCGTGGCCCTGGGCCAGTGCCTCAGCCTCTGCCCCGGGCCTCGTGTCTTAAGCGGCCTGCCTTCCCCAGGAGCCTCCAGCACGTGCTTCTGGCATAAAATGGGCCTCAAGTGGTGGCCACCCCGCTGTGCAAGTGTTTGTTGACCTTGGGGGCGCAAGGGGAGCCTGGCTGGCTTCGGCCCGGGAGCCCCCATCCCTCCAAGTTTATTGTTCCCGTCGCTCCTCACAGGTGGTTCTGTCACGTGGATGATGACAACTACGTGAACCCATGGGCGCTGCTGCGGCTGCTGAGGGCCTTCCCYGCGGCCCTCGATGTCTACGTGGGCAGGCCCAGCCTGAACCGGCCCATCCACGCCTCGGAACCCCAACCGCGCAATCGCACGGTGTGTCCTGCCCTCCTCCTTCGCCCATTGGCTGTAGGCCCCAGGGGTGGGGCCGATTCGGGGCGGGGCCAGTTCGGGGGCGGGGCTGATCCAGGGGCACGGCCGACCTGGGGGCGGAGACGTGGTGGAGGCCACTGGTGGGGTCTGAGCATCAGGTCTGGCTTCGTCCCTGTGGGTTTGGGCCAGTGGCTTCTCCTCTTTGAGCCTCAGCCTCCTCCGCTGTGGAAGGAGATGGAGGTTGTGCAGGCAAGGCCTAGAGAAGGGCAGGTAGTAGGTCCCCAGTCAGCCAAGAGCGGAGGCTTGGTCTGGTCACACAGTGAGCTCCAGGTGTACTGAGGCTTCCTGACTCCATGGCGGGGCTCGTGGCCACCTGGTGTCACCATGCAGTCACGCAGGGTGTTAAAATGCTGGAATCCTGTGGGCCCCAGAACACGACCCCCCTTCAGCACCCTCCTCTCCAAACCTCCACTAACCAAACTTAGTGTGCACACTTGGCACCGTAGGGAGCCCAGACCAGCTTCGACCCTAGACCTAATGGACACTGATTAGGATTGCCAGATTTAGGGCAAAAAAAAAAAAAAATCCTGGCTACCCAGTTAAATTTGACTTTCAGATAAATAATGAAGAATCTGTTAGAAGAAAAAAAATCACATGGCTCTCCCCTGAACCCAAGTCCCATCAGGTTATAGGTGTTGGGGTGCCCAGGCCCCAATGGTCCCCTTGGCTACAGGGACAAGGCAGGTAGGAAGTCCCTTCCCTAGAGGCAGCGCCTGAAGCGGGAGCTGGGCGCGCTGTGGGGCTCCCTCACCCTCCCCAGGTCACCATCTGCTTCGCTAGGGAAACCAGAGCCTTAATTATCAGCAGCTCCCCAGCCTCTGAGCCCTAATTAAATCCTCCTGGGCTTGAGGCCATGCATGTGAGAGAATCCAGGTAAGTCCAGGGGTCCCCCAGGCTCCCACACCGCTCCCACCCCACTCTCATCTGGCTTGAGCTGTTTGCTCAGGGGCTGAGAAGGTCACTGTGGAGCCCGACTCCAGGGGTTCACACATCAACCCTGCCACTGCCTGGCTTTGAGACCCTTATTGAAGTCACCTAACCTCTCTGGGCCTCAGTTTCCTCTTCTGAGAAGCAGGAGATAACAGCCCTTACTCACAGGGCAGTTATGAGCATAGAATAAAAAGGGGTCATCTGTCCAAGTCCTTGGAATGGCACCTGGAATGTAGTGGACACTGGCGAGTGTCAGCGGTCAGTCCTAGTCAGTGTTCACATCCCAGCCAAGTCCTCTCTCTGAAGATGCAGTGCCCAGCTGGGCACATCTAGGCCCACCCCCCAGGGCTCACATGTGCCCTCGTTGGCATGCACCCCCAGCAGGTCCCAGGACTGCCCTGGAGCGGGCAGAACTCCACAGTGTCCAGGACTGTGCGGATCTTGGGTCCTCCAGGGCAGGACTGCAAAGGGGGCGAGAGCTCTGGTTGGGGTCAGTCCCCACTCTGTGGCCTCAGGCAAGTGACTTCATTTCTCTGTGCTTGTTCACCCACCTGGGGCACGGGCCTTGGCACAGGGCATGGGACAGGCAGCATTCAGGGTCGGGCACTTACGAGGCTACTGCCATGTTGTGTCATTACACGGGAGTGGGGGCCACACGCTCGTTCACTTAGAAAACAAAAAATTAGAGTTTACGGGGCACCTCCTGTGTCAGGTCCTCAAGAGCCACTCATTCTGCCTTGCTGAGCCCGACCTTTCTCGCATTCTAGAAGAACGGCAGTTGGGGTCTTTAGAAGGATGCTTCTGAGCCAGGAGAACCGTCAGATTTCAGAACTGGAGCAGATGTGCTCACAGGAGGCCCAGAGAGGAGCAGTGCCTTTCTTGAGGTCGCACAGCTGAGCAGGGAGGAGGGAGACCTCAGGTTCAGGCTTCCTCATTGCTACCCAGGGCTCTTCTCACCGCTGCATCGCGGGAGATAACTCGCCCCAAATGACGTGCCTCCATTAAGCACCACCTACGGACCTGGGGGCAGGAATCCTTGGGGAACTTGTTGGACCAAGGGATGGGACAGCTGAAAGGGCCAAGTGCCTCTAGAGAAATCCATGGTGAATTTAGGGTCATCGCAGAGGAGGGAGGAAGAGGCCTTGGGCTGAGGTGATGGTGGTCATGTTGGGGCTCAGAGAATAGTGTAAGCCCCAAAGGGACACCTTGGTGCCGGTGATTGAGATGTCAAGGGGTTTGCTGGCGGCAGGGGCTCCCAGGACTGACTGTCCCCTCTACTCCATGAGAGACCTCATCTTCATTTTCTGCCAAAAACTCTTCTTGGCCCCAGGAATTGGGAGTGGGGAAGCCAGTGGAAGTGGCCTGGTGGAGGTGGCATCAGGACTGTACATCGCACAGAGCACTCAGGGAAGGACTCTGATTGGCTGGCCTAAGTCATGTGCCTATTGCAGAGCCAATCACTGGTCAAGGGGTGTGGCCTTGTGCACAATCGTTCCTGTGGCGCCTGCGTGCTTCCGTGACCTGGGGGAGCGGCCCCTCCCACCCTCCCCACCCTCCCCACCCTCTTGCCTCAAGGTAGAGCCCTTTCTCAGAGGAGGGGGTCAGATTCCACTGTATTCCATTGTCCTTGGTGACCTTGACTTTGGGCCTGGTGTCCTTCCCTGTGAGATGGGCCTCGTAATGCGAGGCTGTAGCAAGATGTGAAGGTTACATGGAGAGATTCTGAGCCACGCGGGTTGGGGTGAGGCGTGGCCTCAATGTCTCTGACCCCAACTCACCTTGCACCTCTGCCCTCTCCTTCCCAGAGACTGGTGCAGTTCTGGTTCGCCACAGGGGGTGCCGGCTTCTGCATCAACCGCAAGCTGGCTTTGAGGATGGCCCCGTGGGCGAGGTAAGCCAAGACCCTGGGTGGCTGGAGGGCAGGGAAGGGTGGCTACTGGCATGCCCGAGGGGCAGGAAGGCTTGAGAGTGGGTGCAGGAGGAGCTGCCTGTCATTCACTTTGTGTTACCGTGTGACCCAGTTCATGCTGAGCAAATTACCTGCCCCCCTGTCTGCAGGGGGTGCACAGTCCGGTGGCCTCTGTTGCACACAGGGACACCTCGAGAAGTCTGTTTGCGTGTCTGCAAGTGGACCTGCAAACACAGGGACTACTGGTGCCAAGGCTCAGGGTTTGGGCTGCATCTGGCCGAGCCAGGGAGTCACAAGGCCCCGTTTGCAGCCTCCTTCCRCTCTTCTGACCAGTCAATGCCAGAAGGGAGGTGAAGGCCAAGAGTAGGGGCTCTCAGAGGAGCAAGAAGGCCTTTTGGTTGAGGACAATTCCTAGAAGAGGTGGAATTGACCTGGGACAGCACTAGAGGACCCCAGAGGAGGGGAGCCAGGGGGCACTGGAAGCCCTCGGTATGGATGGGGGATGCTGGCCTTCTAGAAGTGGCACATGTCTTCGTGGGCAGGATGGTGTTAACACTCGTGGCCTTGAACTTGGGTTGAGGGTTGGATCTGAGCTTGGCCCCTGTGTCACCTTKTTGGTGGTGTAGCCTGGGTCTGCACTGAGGAGGGTGAGGCCCTAGAGGGTCAGCGCCGCTCAGGTCACCCAGGCTCAGGAGTACGAGCTGCTGAGACCTGGGTGCTTCCCCACTGTACAGCCCGCCTTGTCCCAGGCTGGGAACCGTGGGCCTGGGAGTGGCCTGTTGTCCTAGGGCAGGTCTGGCAGGCGTGCACCTGGAACTGCCAGGGGGTGTCCCACCTCTGTGGAACTTTCATGTGATTGATTGACTGATTGATTGAACTCAGGGGCACTCAACCACTGAGCCCCAGCCCCAGCCCTATTTTGTTTAGAGGCAGGGTCTCACTGAGTTGTTGGGCACCTCACCATCACCGAGGCTGGCTTTGAACTGGGMGATYCTCCTGCCTCAGCCTCCCKAGCTGCTGGGATTATTTAGGAAAAACTCCCCCTCCTCTGTCCTGAAGGCTTGGCTGTGGACCCAGCCTCGGAGGGAGTGTGGGCGGGGCTTCTGCACCCCTCCCCCCTTGGCTGGGTGTCCTGCTCCCAGTGACCGGCCTCCTGGCTCTCCTGACCAGCTCTCCTCCCAGCTGCCAGAGGCCTTCCTCTCTGTGTCTGGGGCAGGCAGGGGCTCAGGCTCAGCAGGGAACGCACAAGTTAGGGAGAGGAGGAAGGAGACATTTATGAAGGGCTTCACCACTGAGGCCCCCGACAGCCCTGGCCAGGACGGCGGTCGCCCCGTCTCACAGCAGAGGAGACGCAGGCTGGGGTCCTGACTCCCTGGGTCGCGCAGGAGGCAGAGGCCGCTCCACCCCTGAGCGCTCCGCCCTGCTGCYGGCCCCGCGGAGAGCTTCCTGGGAAGGGGTCAAGGGCGGAGGCCTGGCCAGGGCTACAGTCCAGCTCTGCCCCCAGCGGCTCCCACTTCGTGGACACCTCTGCCCTCATCCGGCTGCCTGACGACTGCACCGTGGGCTACATCGTGGAGTGCAAGCTGGGGGGCCGCCTGCGGCCCAGCCCCCTCTTCCACTCGCACCTGGAGACCCTGCAGCTACTAGGGGCCGCCCAACTCCTGGAGCAGGTGAGTGGTCTTGGGGCAGGTGGCAATGAGTGGGGAGGAGGGTCCCCCAAAGGAACTTGGGGTGTTTGACATCAATCTGGGACTTGAGATTATGGGGCCTGGCTATCGATGGGGACCCTGAGGCCCAGGGTGGCAGAGGACCCCCTAAAGGTACTCAGTGACTTGCTCCTCAAGGGTTAGCATTGTGACACTGTGATTCTTTGATCTGGTCCCCRAATGCTGCAGGAAGGGCCTGCACAGGTGACCGGAAGCTGGCCTCTGGTTCCTGGGACTCTGTCTGTCCACGCTGGCCTCATCCTGGCAGAAGGCAGCCCGGTTTCCACTCCATCCTGGGAGCAGGGCGCCTCCTTTCCCAGACCCTGGTGCAGATTTGATCCTGCTCTAATGGCCTGGGCCGTCACATGACCCTTCTCCTACCAGGGCCGGGAGCTGCTTGGCCAGGCCGGGAGCTGGGCTGTGGCTTCCTCCTTGGGAACCCCAGGTTCCTCTTATGAGGACCACACACCCGAAACTGGGAAAGCGGCAGATTTTGGACAGCCGGAAGCGGGGCACTCCCTGGTCAGGGTTTCCTGAGCACCTGCCGTGCCAGGGTCCACCGAGGGCTGGCCTCCTGCAGCTGTTTCCTCACCATATTCACATGGTCAGCACATCGTCCTGCAGTATCCACACACACTGGTCCAGGACCCCTTGATACTGATGTCCCAGGATGCTCAGTGCCCTATAGGAGGTGCTTCGTGTTTGCATATCGCCACGCGCAGCTTCCACGTGCTTTAAATCATCTCACCAGGTGCAGTGATGCACGCCTGTARTCCTAGTGATGCAGGAGGCTGAGGCAGGAGGATCCCAAGTTTGAGGCCAGCCTCAACAACTTATCAAGGTCCTGTCTCAAAGAATAAAACCGGCTGGGGATGTGGCTCAGTGGTAAAACGTCCCTGCCTTCAATCCCCAGTATTGAAAAAGTAAAAATAAAAAATACATAAGCCGTCTCTGATTACGCCTGATACCTGCCCACTGTCCCCTGAACGTGAGTGGGTGTTGCACCAAAGTGTCAGGGAACGTCAGAAGAATGCTCTCGTGCATGTTCAGGTCAGAGGCGAAGGTTTTTGCGTATTTTTGATCCACGTTGGTGCAACGCCTGGTGGAGGGCACCGCAGCATCCTCCCCGCTGGGAGGATGGGGAGACGCAGGCCTGGGGACTGAGCCCCACCCAGCTGGGCGCAGCTGAGCAGCAGGCTCCTGGCCCAGCACGCGCTGCCCTGCCCACGGGGGGCTCTAGAAGGACCCGCTGCTCATGGTGGATCTGCAGGCGGACCTGTGCCTCTCAGGATGCCCTCTGGCCCTCTCTGCTGTTGCCAAAATGCTGCCCGCTTGTGGGATCCCTGGTGCGACACCCCCTCACACTACTCTGCTTCTCTCTGCCCAGGTCACCCTCAGCTATGGTGTCTTTGAGGGGAAGCTCAATGTCATTAAGCTACCTGGCCCCTTCTCCCCTGAAGAGGACCCCTCCAGGTGGGTCTGAGGGCTGCAACGGTAGGACGGGAGGTGGGGGTGCTGAGCCCAGGCCTCCAGAGGCGGGGGAGCTGAATGGAAGGAGTAGATTTCTGCCTCTGCTCTGCGGTGTGACTTTAGGCTAGTGTCTTGCCCTCTCTGGGCTTCAGTCTCTCACTTGTAACACTTGGAGACTGAATATTGTGGCTGTGTARGACTCTCCCAGCTCTGGTCCCCAGAGTTCCTCAGGAGCCCCCGGAAGACTGTCCTGTTGGCCCTGAGTGAAGGACGCCGCGTGCTGCAACCCCAGACCTGGCGGGGGTTGTGTTGTCTCCTTTGTTTCTTGGTCCTCTTAGACGGTTCTTCTGGGAGGGGAGGGTTGGGATGGTTAGAACCTTCCTGAAAGGCCTCAGGGGGTTGGGGCTGCTCCCCTCGGTCCCCTTTGTGTGGAGCAGTCCAGGGGACAGTCTGTGGAGGTGCCTGGTTCCCCGTCCACCGCGGCCCGGGGGTGTGTGGCCTGTGCTGCTGGCTCAGGGGGTGGGAGGGCTGGGGGGCAGGTGGCCTCTGAGCCCAGCCGCAGGACTGCCCCCTCCTGGCACCCCGTGCAGCCTGCGGCCCCCAGCCGMGGGGAGCTCCTCCCCCGGGCAGTCCCGCTGTCCCCACTGCTCACCGGCCGCCAGCCAGCGCCACGTGGAGGCTGGGAGCCGGGGAGGAACCCGGGTCCTGCCTGCAGGGGTGTGCAGGTCTCGGRGGCAACGGGTAGCAAGGGGTGGTGTGGGCCCTGGGTCCCCTGAGGGGTAGAGACTTGTCCAAGGGAGTCCTGGACAATGAGGCGTCTGGGACACTGTCCTGTGGGGGACAGTAAGACAGCCTCYGTGCTGACGGGCGTGGGCTGTCCAGGGAGGGGGAGGGGAGGGGGCATGGGGTACCTGAACTGGTAGCAGCAGTCCCCAGGACAGGAGATGGCACAGTGTCCCGGGCAGAGGGGATAGCATGTGCAAAGGCCCAGGGGCAGTAGATAGACCTTGATGTGCTCGAGGAAGCCGAGGGAGCCATTGCAGTCCCATACAGAGGTGAGGAGAGGTGACACAGTGCCTGGTCTGCTCAAGGAGGTGACAAGCGACCTCCCAAGGCCTTTGTGGGCTCTGCCTGGACCTTAGATTTAGATTCCGGTCCCTTGCAGGGAAGCAGGGCCCCTGGCCCCCAGGTTTCCAGAGCCGCCCGGTTGGAGCAGAGGCTCTGAGCACGCCGAGGGTCCTGGGGGGCTGCGTTGACCCCGTTGTAGGTTCCAAGGAGACAGTTTGGCTTAACACAGGGAAAAACGTCAAAATTCTGGGCGTCAGTGGGGGCGGGAGCTGTGGCTGAGGCCAGGAGGCAGAGCACTGGCCCAGCACGCGGGGCCCTGGATTCAAACCCCGGCCCTGCCAGACATGGTGCTAGGTCTGCTCCAAGCTCAGGATTCTAGAATCCGCAGCTTCCTGCGGTTGGGGCCAGAGCCCTGAAGACCCAGGTCTGTGGGGCGGACGGGCTCAGTGGGGTCTTGTTCTGAAGTCTCTCTAAGCTGGGGGCTCAGCCAGGTTGGCCTTGTTCCCCAGGGGACATTGGGTGATGTCCAGTGGCTCGACTTGGGGACGTGCTGCGGGCGTCTAGTGGGTAGAGGTCGGGGTGCCGCTAGGCCTCCTCCAGGGCACAGGGCAGCCCCTGCCCCCCGGGTTTCCTGGCCCCAGATGTCTGTGGTGCCTGCTGTTCGTCATCTGCGGCACGGTGACCGTCCCCGTTCTGGTCTCTCTGCAGGTTCCGCTCCCTGCACTGCCTCCTGTACCCGGACACGCCCTGGTGCCCCCAGCTGGTGGTGCGGTGAGCCTGAGCTGCTGGGCGGAGGCCGGCGGAGGCTTCGGGCGGCTCCTGTGCCCACGCAGCGCTGGCGAGGGCCCTGGAGGGCAGCTCCTGGCGCGGCCTCCGGGCGACCAAGGTGCAGGCCTGTGGGTAGCTGGAGGCACCCGGCTSGAGAGGAGGCTGGACAGCCTGGGGAGCAGGAGGACCAGGTGAGGGCCGGACAGGCCCAGGCTGGAGCCCGCGGCCTGGGGGAGCCGACTGAGCAGGCAGGCACCTGGGCCCGGCTGGGGATCGGGTGCCATCCCTTAGACAGTGCCTGGGCCCCTGGGGGAGGCTGGCTCCGGCCCTGGCTCTGTCCCCCTCATTCCCCTGGGGCTGAAGCACTGGGCCGTCTGCTCCTAAGACCCCTGGCCGGATCCTGTGTCCCTGAGGGGACCTGAAAGAGTCATGGCCAAACCCAGGGTCTGTGACGGATGATGACGCTGCGGAGTCTCTGAGCTCCYGGCCCCCACCCCTTGCTAATGGGCTCAGGTTTGGAGCCCCAGCAGGCCCAGGTGATGGCTCCGCGTGGTCCCAGCCAATCAAGACGACCCTTTGGCTCACTTTCCAGTCTCCGTTGCTGGGAGAYGTTACCCTGTGACCCAGGTTTGGCCAGTAGAGAGGTTTCTGGGTGAGGTTTTTCAGCCCTGTACCTCATCTTCCTGTGTGAATGTGGGTATGATGGCTGGATCTGAGGAGCTACTTTGCCACCAWGAAGGGAAGCCCAAGACCGTCACCGCAGCTGTCTCCTCCAGCGTTTGGTTCTGTACGAAATTAAACCCCTATTTAAGTCTCTCTTGGTCCAGTTTTCTGTTTGCAGCCAGAGTGTTCCTGACAGGGCGGGATCCTCAGTCTGTCACAGTGGTGACGGTGGTCACTTTGGTGCCCAGGAGGGGCTCCGTGTGTGTGCCGTCTGTGTGAGTGTGTGCACAGGCGTGAGTGCCCCTCTGTGCCTCTGTGTGAGGATGCACGTGTGCGTGTGGCTGTGCCCACTGACCCCTGAGGGCCACAGTGGGGCTCTGGGATGGGGAGGAGGGAGGAGAGACCGTGAGGGGTGGAGGCCCTGGCCCAGGCAGCGGGCCTGGGGCCCTTGGGTCATGTCCTTGGCTCTTGAGGGACAGAGTCCTTGTCCCGGCACATCTGGGTCAGAGGCCTCTGGAACCACCGAGCTCAGCCCCTTGTTTCCTTSCTAGGGAGGGTCCTGGGGCCCAGARGGGGACTGCCACATGCCCGTGGTCCCCCAGCACGCGAGGGACCTGTGCCGGGTGTGCAGGATGGAGCTGAGTGAGGGCGGCCGCTGTCCTCCTYACCCGCGGGGAGGCTGCTGGCTGGCCTGGTTTTAGAAGCAGCAGCAGATTTTCGGGTAGTTCCCAGATCCTGAGGGTCGGTGGGGGGAGCAGGGCTCGGCCATCTGCTGCCTCCATTATCCCAGAATAGCTGGGGGCGGGGCYGGAGGAGTCAGCAGGACGGGGATTAGGATGGCGGGGGAGGAGGGGGGTGGAGGAGCGCGGAACCCCCTCTGGGAGCAGGAGGTTCTGTGTCTGCCCCCCCCAGCTGAGGCGCCCCTGTGGGCCCTGCAGGCCGGGGCAGGGTCGGGGGCGGGGGGCCCCTTTCCCCGCCTCACTGTGCTCCTAAGCCCCCTCACCTTTAGCCCGGGCTGGGCAGCCTGCCCGCCCCCCTTAGGGTGCACCTGGATGGGATAATTGGGGCCCTGGTGGCCACTGACCTTGGGCTGAAGGTGGGCTCCTATGACAAGGACGACAGAGTGGACAGGCACCAGAGGAACCTGGAGATGCTCCTCAGGGGCTGGGGGCCTCCAGCCAGCCCCCATCCCGTCATGGAGTAGGCAAGGCCCCAGCTGAGCCTGCTCCTCCCCCAGCCACGCTGCCCCTCTGTGAACAGGGCGGGCACCACCCTGGGAGACTGGCCACGGGCATCTCAGCTCCGCCCTGCTGCAGAGCTGACCCTCATGGGGGCATGCTGCAGGGCCGCCACCCCGAGCACTTGATGCAAATCGGGCCATTTCATCTTTGCCTGTTTGAAGTAGGTGCACCGACCTTTGTGGCCATTTTGCAGATTAGGAAACTGAGGCACGGCAGGGGAAGGTTTGGGTCGGGCTCCTCATGGCTCCTCCAGCAGGTGGGGCCCTGTCTGCACAGCTCTCCCTCTCCCTGGAGCCTCGCTCTTGTCGGAAGCCACTGCCCCTCCGGGGGCCCAGGGCCACCCAGCACGCAGCGGCCGCCTCAGCCTGTGGTCATGCTGCCCACCCCTCCTGCTCCAGACTGCCCCTTGTGGTGCCTCAGGTGTCCACCCCCACTTGGCTCTGGGCTCCAGGGCCCCAGGGCTCCCGTGGTTCTGTTTGCTGCCGCTCAGGACCTGGCATAGTAGATGCTCAACAAACATTTGAAGGATGAATAGAAAACTGAGCGACTGGGCTTCTCCCATCTCTTCTGCTCCTCTTGCCAGGGTCTTGGGGTCCTATGGATGGGGTCCTGCAGAAGGRCGGGGGATGGGGAGGGGCTTTGAAATGGAGGAATCAGTCCAGCCTCACTGGGACCCACTGTACTAAGACACTCATCCTTAGCATTGCCCAGAGGAGAAACCCTGGGCGTGCGTGTCCAGTTAGGACCCGACTGGAAGGACCAGCACCTCCTGGGTCGGCTTCCCCTGGCCGTGGGCCCCAGCCAGGTCGGCCCTCTGCATCTGAGCACCAGGGTACAGGGCCTGCCAGGTTGTGCAGCATGTTGGGTGACACTGAGGTTCAACCCACGGGGTCAACCATGGGGAYAGTTCTACCTGACCTCCAACCAGGGGGACGGCATACAAAAAGGAGGGTAACAGATTAAAGGAGACGCACGAGACTGCACCCAGATGCAATGTGTGGGCCTGGTTTTGATCTTGATTGAAATCCATGGACCTTAAAATGACATTTTTGAGGAAAATAAGGAAATCGGAGCAGGGAYTGTGCATTAGATGACATTAGGGGCTGTTAACATTATGAGGGGTGACAATGACATTGAGGTTATTTTGGAAAACGTTCTAAGAGGTGAAAGATGCATTTTGAAATACTCGTGGGTGACATGATATCACGTCTGGAATTTTCCTTCACGGGGGGCCTTGGTGGCTGTTGAGGCAGGAGGGGGCGGGAGGTCCCTGGGCAGCGCCCCCCCCCCGTAAGTGCGTGGAAAAGCTCTGTCCTCCCCCCCACCCCCACTCTCTCCTCCCTGCCCCACATTCGGCCTGGAGAACATCTGTCTGCATCAGCACAGCTGTCCTGGCTCCCGTCCTGCTCCCCACGCACCCAGAGGGAGGAGAGGCGGCCCTGGGCTGGAATGGCCCTGCCTGATTTGCATTTGGCCGGGAGCCTGGTTCCCGGAGGCGCACCCTGATTGCTTGTTACAAACCTTTGTCCCAGTGGCTTTGTGACCTGGGACCCTCCTGCTCCCCCCCCCCCACTTCACTGCTGGCTTCCTGGGGCAACGTGGGGGCGGGTGGGGTGGAGTCTGCCCCTGAGCTGGGTGCAGACCTTGCCCTCAAAGGCAGCAGCSGGGACAGCCAGCAGGCGGGGGAGGGCTGCTGGGGGCTCTGGGTCTTGAGCAGGTGTGCCCACTGCTGACGGGGTGTGGAGACCCCGGGGACAGATGCGGACCTCAGTGTGGCTGAGATGACTCCTGTCGCCACACGTCTCATCTTCCGCCTGAGAGTCACAGGCRTGGGCGGGGCGCCGTCCACACAGAGCAGGGGGCCCTGAGCCCCCCACAGCAGGACCCGGCCTGGTCTGCGCCTCGCGGTCTCTGGCCCAGCGCTGGGCCCAGAGCAGCCACCCCAGGAGGCCAGGCGGTTCCTGACGGGGCTTAGACACGGGCCAGTACCAGGGTGGAGGTGTAGAACGGCAGGTTTTTGGCAAAACCAGATTCCAGGGCTCCCCCTGGACCCGCAGAACCCAGCTCTCCCAAGATGCAGACTGTTTTCACCAGGCTCCCGAGAGTGAGCGGCTGGAGCCGGGAGTTCAGCACCACGGACAGAGCCCGGCCTCCCGAAGGCCTCCGGGCTCGGCGGGGGCGAGATCWCTGTGTGTCCGGGCCTGATGGGGTGCAGGTGACTCTGTGGTCCTGGCTCCCGCGTGGAGTCATCCTCATCCCTGTTTCAGGAGTGACTTTCAGGGAGGCCAAGGTCCTGTTGTAGGTGTTGCTGACTCTACACAGGGGCCATCTGGTGGACACCCCTTGATTTATGACTTATCAGGGACCCCCATACTGTGCAAGCAGCAAGGCATGAAGCCTGAGYCTGTGTGAGCAAATGAGCCCCCAGACATGGCCTGAACCCCGACTGTTGTCTTGGGGAGCCGCCTCGGAAAACTCTCAAGTCCGAATTCAAACAGAAGAGCGCTTTATTTACCTGGCCAGGGACTGTCACCCACCCCGAGAGACTGATGCTCGGTGGGAGAACAGCCTGGCCTGTGTCCCGGGAATTTAAGGGTGGAAACCACAACTCAGGGGCCTTTCTTGGCGTCACGCAAGCAGGGAGCTTACAACTCGGTGAGCCGTGTCTCGGTCCAAGCAGGTGCTCAACAACCGTGTCCCGAGTCTCAGGTGAGCCGGGCCATGATCCACTTCAAAGTCACGCAGCCCCGTAGCTGTACTCAAACCCAGGACGGAGCTCACCACCACCACCACCACCATATCCTGAGTTGGGACATTCTGTGGGGCACAGAGTACAGACAAACAATTTTTTTTTTTAATAAGAAGACAATTTTCGTTTCTGATTCTCAGAAGTGGGTCCTGCARGTCCCTCCTCACAGGAGCAGCGACAGGAAAATGAGGATGGGKTCCAGAACAGCCRAGGTGGAGTCCCTACGGCCACACTTCTTGTCCATTGAGCCACTCCGTTCCCGACGGCCCAGTGCGGGTGACTGTCTTGATGCTGCAGGTGCCTGGTTCACGGTCATTTCACAGTGGTATCCACGAGCCTGGCGATGACGTGCTCCAGCTCATGCAGCTGTTCCACTGTAGCCCCTAACCTACCCTCTCACTGGCTTTTGGCTCCTTTACACCTCAACACTGTGTTCAAGGGCTGTGCTCGCAGCCAGGGCGCTGTGGGGACGAGTGGCTCTAGCTGCTGCCCCAGGAGCCCCCCGTGTGTCAAGCACGGTCCACTGACTGCTAGGAAGGAGAGCGGCCTTGGAGATGCCCCTCAGCAAGGGTGTGGCCTGGGGAGGCCGCCAGGCCCCAGGCTCCAGCGGTTGGCGCAGAGGTGGAGGATCAGCGTGGCCCGTGCCGGGCTCAGAGCTCAGAGGCTGCCTCCTAATCTGAGAAATGAGAGCGCGCACCCCTCCCGCCATCGCTCCAGGGCCGCTGGGAGGAGAGCGTCCCCTCCTTCCAGGCCCAGGACCCAGCACSGGCGTCCACCGTAGACTCCCCATTTTCTAAGGTCCTCGCACCCCACGCTTAGCGCCAGACATGGCAAACGGGGTGGGTGGCGGCTGCCACCGGGCTCTTATCCTGAGGAGTCATGGCCTCTTTAGCTCTTCCTCCTGGGCCCCCAGCCGRACGTGTTTCCAGCGTCCCTTGCAGTGAGGGTGACCACTGGCTGGGTCCTGTGTGACGGGATGGGCCATCAGACCCTCTGGTGTTAGCAGAGGACCCTGGCTAGAGGGGGCGTGGCCTGGGCGGGTGGGACCGCTGCCGTGCGCACCGCGCAGGGATGGAACTTGCGCAGAGGGGCGCCCTTGGGTTGTGGGGTGCTCCTTACTCGGCTTCTGCTCCCCTGTGGCC